ATTCATTCATTCATTGCTGGTATTGCGTTTATGATCCCAGTTAGGAGCTCATCGCAGCAAAGCATCAGTGCCTGTCCCCTGACATAACAAATGTAAGAACTAAAATACGATGAGTTGTAAGAAGTAATGATGGAATGATGCAAGAAAAAAAGTAACATATGGTATCAAGGAAACATTAGGTTGATAAAAGATTAAGATACTAACAATCAGAGGGTATTTGATAGGAATGTTTAACAGGCTAATATACATTTACATTTATAAGAAAAGCAATAACTACTTTGAAAATAGTAATAAAACATACAGAACTCACTTTTTCACTTATAAAAATGTTGTAGCCCACTGCGTATTTTTCCATGCTTCTGCTATTTTTGGTAAGAATTCCAAGTTCACTATTTTCATCCCCCAATTGATAAAGAACATGCTGAAATTCAACTGTAGAATCCAGAGGCTCGATTCCATATGAAACATTTCCAAAGTGGAGTATTCCTCTGCAAATTTCAGGAAAAAACATGATGTGCTACTAATCAAATAGCAAATAACGCTGTTTGTGAGACCGATAAAAGTCATAAAAGAAAAATACAATTAAAGATATGGTATAATATTTTGAGTCCAGTATTTTGCTCTAAATTTTGTCTTAGGGATAACTTTTTGGAGAGAAGTAATTTCTCTAATGAACAAGGCCAGCTTTTCATCTTGATTTTTATGGTTATAAAGAGAAGAGAAATTACCTAATCAATTTACTAGGAGTACAGCATTATAGCATCCAAGTGATTCCCCTATTTCCCGTCAGTGAATACGTAAATTATTAGTACACAGAAATCTTGATGAATTTTTTTCCTAATTGGCAATGCTTTTGAAAAATTAAGGAGAGGGAGAGAACAATTTTATTTATAAATATAAAATCCATCTGTAATTACACCATCTGTAATTACACAGTCTGAATAATAAATAAAAAACAGATGCCTAACAACTTGTATTGCTATGCTTCCTAAATTCAGGTAATTGTTTCAGTCAGTATGCTACAAGAAAACAATTTCAGGTCTAAATTTCAGGATTCTATGTAAGAAGCATTGAAAAATATTTGTCGTTAAAACAGGGATCATACACTGCAAAAGAAAGGTGGAGAATTTCCTGACAGAACGGAGGCTCCTCTAATCAGGAAAAAGGAAATTTAATATTCTTGGAGAGTTCAGGAGAGTGATGTTATCAAAAAATATAAATATAAATTTAATAATTATTTCAGATATAACTTGCCTCCTCATCCCCGAAGATTATTCCCTTGAGAAAAGCAAGGCCAATTTACCATTATTTATTTATATCTCTCAACAGTAAAACATATGGTAGTTATTGTAAATAATCTATTTGCTCATAAAATAATCCACCCTAAACTTAGCTCTTCCAACTCACTGTAACAAACTACATTAAACTGTCATTTTTGGATAAGAAACATGAGAAGCAGGGCAAGGAGACTAGGGAATCCAAAACTTCAAGGAAATTAAAAATGTCTGGTCGTGAGGAAAGCTAGAACAAATAAAAGTAGAAGGAGAGAGTTTAGAGGAAGATGTTCTTTGCAAAATCTCAGTTTCGAATAGAAATCTTCCTCCAGCTACGTACTTGATACAAACAGAATAAATTCACAGGAGCACAATATCATAACCATTTTATAATTGACAGAAAATAAATAACCTCAGTCCAGAGCATGTGCTGAGTATGGCAAGAGAATTCAGATGTCCTTCGACATATCCATGATAGTAGCATTCAGACTAGAAAAAAAAAAAAAACACAAAAAAAGTAAAGTAGTTACATGGAAATTGGCAAACTTTCAAAGGACTTTCTACTTTAATGCTTGCAAAAACTTTCTTAATATCATTCACAGGTAGCATGATTTACATCTGTACGAGTAAAGTGAAATTCAGGAAAAAACACATACTTTCTGCTTTTACTGCTCTGCTTAGATGGTGGTCTGGGATTATTATTTTATAACTGACCTCCAACATGTTATTTTATTAGGTAAAATTATTTTCCAATTTATAAATTTAGATGATTAATCACAAAATGAAGAATCTGGATATCTTTGGCAGTATGCCAACATTCTATTCTCTCTGGGCTCTTGACCTGAGGATGGTGAAGGATGAGTTAGATGAACGCAGACAATGGGGAACACAGCGAGTGGTTCCCTGGAGAAAACAAGCAGAGCTTTTGCCAGCCCAGAGAGGTTCTGAGGGCAGACACTGAGGGTGCATCCATTTTGGGGGGTCTCTGGGTACTTCTGGGGTATTGTGGAGGGTGTGTGAAATATGAAACAATGAATCAACATGGCTGCCATCCTCCCGTGTGGGCCTCTGACATCAGTAGAACAGATGTCCTCTAGCTCCCCGAGCCAGACCTCAGTGAGCCTCTTTATTTTGTTTTCCAGTTTTTCCAGTGCTTATCTTGGTTCATTCAGGTCCCTATTTTATCTGCCTACTGATTGTTTATCTCTTGATCTCAATACTCTAGAATATAAAAATCTATAATGATAACAGAAAATTGAAGTACTAGAAATCCCCTGCCAACACAATCTCAAAAGATGACATGAAATCTGTAGCAATAAGGAAAATCTAGACTCTAAGGCAAATAAGCATTTCTAGAGGTAAGGAGAGACATTTCATAATGATAGAGGCTTCAATTCACCAGGAAGATACAAATATTCTAAATTTGTATTCACTACATAATATAGCTTCAAAAACCTACAAAGCTAAAATTGAAAGAACAGAGCAAAAATAGAAAATTCACATTACTAAAATATTTGTAAACATAATTTTCTCAGTAACTGATAAGCACTCAAAATCTGTAGGTATGAACAGTATAGTTGGTAATCAACCAATTACTGTATGTAGCACATGAGGTAGGTTAGAAGACATAAAGATACGTGGAAAGGAAACATGATTTTAGAAATGAAAACTGCAGCTTCAGGACATAAGCCCAGTTAAAATTTTTTCTTTCTTTTCGTCCAGGACACAATAAGCCTGTGTAATTCCCTGTCACCCACAAATGGGTTCAATTGTTCCGTTTTTAATCGCAAATGGGCTTCTTTCATGTGTGATTAGACCTCTCTCACCTATAAAATAAGCTTTTCCCTTTGAATGAGATACTTCTTTCCGTGGGTGAACCATCCTTTTCTGATCCCTAGACAGGACTTCCCACAGATTCACAAATTCCACAGATTTCCAACACCAAAACCACAAATATCCCCTGCCCCCGTCCTAAGCCTCTCTTTTCTCTCTCTCAACTCCCCACTCCCACCCCCTTTCTCTAAGGCCCGCACTATATTCTTTGAGTGTATAATCTGGAATTCTGCAGAACAAGTCCTTTCTGTGCCTCGTGCTGACTAGTTCTGAAAATTCTTTTCTTTCAATTGGAGTCAATGAACTTGCAAATCCATTATGTAAGTATCAGAATGCACTATCTAAAAGAGTAGAATACGTTTTTAAAACAAACTTGGAGCGTTTACGCAAATGAAGTTGTGACAGCCAACCTGGCTCCATTTGTGTGAAGCTGACTGATCCGGTGGTCACTTCCCGCTTCCCCCTTGGGAGTCCCCTTGGTTAGTGCATGACAGACCACCACATCCTGCAGTCTGCAGTTATAGGTTATCTTTACAGCTTTCCATTTGGTACAGCAATGTGCAGCTATAAGTTACCTTTACAACCTTGTAAACAGGATACTCCATGCTTTTGTGGTTTTTTTTTTTTCACCTAAACTGTGTGAAACTTCCCCTACTAACTGAGCAAAGTTCTGCTCCTGTGAAATTCCACTTGTGCTCCCCCGCTCCCTGAACCCTCCCCACTTAGAAGGGCCTCTTAAAAGAAACCCCAAGCCCAAGCTGCTTTTCCTCCTCAAGAGTTTTCCAGGTATGAGCCTCTCTTGAATGCCAGCCGACAATAAAAAAGGATTCAAATTTGGCTCAGAGTAGTGGCGATTCTCTATGATCTCTCCCAATTAAGTGTAACAGTTGGAGGTCCCAGCGAGATCGCCACTTCAGGTGGACCAGCCTCACTGTGGTCCCTCCTGTCTTTGGCAGCAGATTATAGGAAGGCATCCCCTGAGATGTTCCAGGGCCCCATGATTTCGTGCTGACACTGAGGGCATCACAGTGACATCCCAGTCACTCCTCAAAGACAAGCTCGAGTCCACCCTGTCTGTTCTTGAGGTAAGGATCCTTTCTGTCCGAGTGGGCAGCATCAGCCCTTGATGAAGGTGCTACCCAGACTCCCTCTAAACTCGCTCTCAAGGTCAGGATTCTGACTGAGGTGGTCCTCTTCTCTAGATGGGTCCACCCTTTTCTGTTAGCAAATGTCCAGTCAGTCGTTCTGCCCAAGACAACTTTGGCCTTCTTGTCGGCTTTCTGACCTATTTATGATAAATTTTTCCTTTACTTTTCCTCACATATCTTATTTCTGAGGGTAGGGCTCTTATCTGCCACCTGTCTTATTCTCCCCTCTGAGTGCCCATACTGCATCTCAAAATTCCGTTCCACTACTTTTTCTGTACTGCTGCAGGCTTGAACTTCTACCTTGCAAGAACAAAGAATTTCCAATGCCCCATGTGACATGAAGCTTCTTCATTCCTTGCATACTGGCAGAGGAGACTTTTAAGATGCCTGTCTGTTTCTGTTGCCTCAACCCCTCCCCCCAGAGGGACTTCCCAGAACAAAGGGATGTGTAATTATCCCTTGGCCCTGCTATTTACATATCAACAACTTGCTTGAGGGCTACACTAAAAACAATTCCATGGGCCCCATGGCACCCTGGCTGTACCTTGTTGATAAAAAAAATTAAAGTTACTACTGTTCCATTCACAGGCAGTTATATAATATAATAATCTGAGAACAAAAAAGGGAGGGATAATTACTTTAAATTTTTAATAGCTAAAGGAAGTTACAAAAGATTTAAAATAAATGAGATGGAAGATAAATACTAAAAGGCTACAAAGTAAAAGATTCTTTTGATATAAAAAGATTTTATATACTTGTCTTCTCAGAAGAATAAAGAGATATAAAAGACAAGAAGGCCTATGTACATTAAAAAAGTTTACAAAACTAATTATCAAGTAAATATATATATTTGCTTGCTGGTTTCAGATGTGTTATAAAAGGTTTGCATCTATAGGCATAAAGCACTTTTATTCCTTCTGATTCTACTTACAAGAGATTTCTATTAATTGACCTACAGAAGTTTTGACTAGTCTTAATTAAAAGGGATGTTATAATTCAAATTGGACAGAGGAAGAAAGGGGCTAAAGGTGTAGAGAAAGTGGGAGGGGTAGGGGAAAGGTAATAAGGAAAAGAAAAAAGTATGAGAAAATGAAAAAATGGAAATGAAGTGTTTGTAAATGGGGGGGAGGGGTGAAGGGAGAGCAGGGACAAGGGGAAAAAATGAGAACCAAGACCTGTCATGTAAAGGTGCAAGATCCCAATGATGAATGTACCTCATCATCCCAATGATGAACAATGAATGTATACCTAAACTGTACCTATAAACTCAATGAGAGGAAAAAAATCCACTAAAAAAAACAAATTGGACATATATATCTGACGGCACTCTAGTTTCATAAATTGTCTTATATGTTTGTCTTATAGATAAATGTTACCAAAGTGAGATACACTTTCCTTTCCTTTGATCAGTTGCTAACTGATCAAAATGACATCAAAGATTAATTCTGATTCTAATGCATATGGTTGTCTATGTTCAATAACTTAAAAAGTATATTTTTCTTGGTTACAAATAATTTAATTGTTACAATCTGGGTTTTACAGGTTAAATAAAAAAGTTTGTCAAGGTAATTAAATGGGGACTTTTAGGTTTGGGGAAATAATGACTAAATGGGACTCCCCTTCGCAAATAAACAAGTGACTACTCAAAAAAAAGAGTTATTTCTGTTCTTTGTTCACTAATGGGATCCCCCAAAATTTTCATAGCCCTATAGAAAGTTATAACCCCAATAAACAGAGCTTAAATATATTATTATAAAATATTTGCATTTATTATTATCAAAGGGTTAAGTTCTAAATATGTTATTGCAATATGTTTATGCTTGTCATAGTCTAAAACAAAACTTTTGGCAAAAAAAGAGGTCTTAAAAAAGATGCTTTTGGTATACGAACTTGCATTACAGGACATAAGATTTCATATAATTGTAGTAATTATTATTGCTATTTTTCTAGTGTAAAAACTGTATTCATGTCTTCTGACTGTGCAGGTCTTTAAACATTTTGTTTAGGGTAATAACCTTTTTATGATCCAGGTATTTGCCTTTCTCTTGTGCTCCAGCTACTTATGATAAAATTTGCATATCAAGCCAACATGAGATAATCAATCAAATAATAGTTTTTCTTAAAAACTTATGTAATGAGTATGTTATGTGTCACCATACTTGGGGATGCTCAGGTGCTGAGCAGTCCAAACGATGTCACATACTAAAATTAAGGGCTGAACGTTATAAACATCTAATGTATATTTATAGGCCATGCTCCCTTTAGATGATATACTATGAAAAGATAGCAAATGAGAGTTTTTCCATGTGATACTTAATGTCTTAATAATTTATGTGATACTTAATGCCTTCATAATCAAATAGAGGTGTTTGACTAAAAACTACACCATTCTAAGATAGACATTTAAATGTGTTACAAGGATAATGCCAGCATGATTGTCATACTAAAATAATGTGTGGCTCTTGATCTTAAGTTGTTCTATATAATTTATAACTTTGTCTGTTAAGA